CCACCGATTTAAAAGTTGGTGAATAAAGCAGGGTTTCATGGGAAAGCAACCTGTTATTAATTGTGTAAAATAAAAGAAAGATAAGAGATTATATAAAAAAAAAAAAAAATAAATATATAATATAATCTCGAATATATATATATATATATATATATATATATATATATATATGTGTATATATATATATGATCAGTTTCTTTACACTGCATATTAGATATGTTTCAGATGACTGTACGAACAATCGGTATATAAAATATAATGAAAAATCTATATATACGTATAGTCTCTCCTAACGTAATCACACAAATTTTTAAAATGATCACAAAGTGCAATCTCTTAGCCAACACACTTTTTTATCAAACGAAAGAAAAGAAAAAAAGTATAAAGAACTTGTTATTTTTCATAACGAAGAAGTAAAATTTAATGTATTGAAAAAAAAAAAATATATATATATATATGTCTTCACTAGTTATTAAACTTTTCCTATTGACACACACGAAAAATTTATTATATTTAATTGATATTTTATTAGTATATCACACATGAAAATATGTATAAATGCCTGGCATTATAAATCCTTGCAATGTAAAAAGAATATGAAAGAGCAAGATAAGTGTCTGGTTTGGGATGTCTTGTAAACAGCTTCTTTTTCTCTTTACATATATATATAAATAATATATATATATATATATATATATATATATATATATATATATGTATATATATATATATTATTTTTTTTCCTACTCTTTATTTATTATTCGTGGTGTGACACGAAAGTATTCGGAAATCAATACATATTGATTACTCTTTTTTACAGAAAAGAAAAAAGAAAAAAACATTTTTATACTTTTTATTTATACGATAAAGTAAAGAAAAAAAAAAAAAAAAAGGATTAAAAAAGAAGTCATTCATAAAAATTCTATAATCGCAAATTCAAAATGCAATTCAGTCAGTGAATTTATCATCATTGTATTTATTTCGCGTGCAACTCCAATAACAATTTAAATTAATTAATTAATTAATATAATTATTATTGTTGATATTTCGAATTGAGCCAAAAAAAAAAGAAAAAAGAGAAAAAAAAAGAGAGGAAGCAGAAAAAGGAAAAAAAAAAAAGAAAACGAAGAAAAAAAGAAGCCGTGAGCAGAATATTACGAGGCGAAAAATTACGAGCGTTAAAAATTTTGCTCGTTAAATTCGAAATTAAAAGAGAATTACTTATATACATCGTTCGATAACTCTCTCGTTATCATTTTAATATTTAATATCATCCATAATGAGCTCAATGGAAAGTAATTTAATAGTTTTTACACCAACACTTATATAAACGATCACAATGTGATGTGAAAAGCATGCTCAGTACTTTATATATATGCAAGATTTATTAATGTATTATCGGATCTATTTTATCATAAAAAATACGATATAGTAAATGCATAGTAAGCATGTAACTATAAGCGTCTTGTTAAATATACGTTAAGTACATGTACGTAATGTACGTTTCAATGTATATTTTTAATATGAAGTACATGTAAGTTATATATATATATATATATATATATATATATATATATATATCTATATATATATATATCAGCAAGAGATATAAGTTGATGTAATTAAAGGGAAAAAGAAGGAAAAACAAATGTATTCCTCTTGGTGGGCACAACCAGTGACTATAAAGATATTAATATTTTGTCAAAATATTTGATCGCACTTATAATTAGATTGTAATTCTAAGAAAAAAAAAAAAAAAAAAGGTTTTGAACCTTTAATAAGTTTTTTTTTTCTCTCTTTTTTGTTGTTTACGTTTGTTTACAAATAGGAGTTATATTATATTATAATAGATGCTTGTAAAGAATTTCTTTTTTTTTTTTTTCTTTTTTTTTTTCTTTTTTTCATTTATTTATTTTTTTTCCTAACAATTTAGATTTATTTTTATTATATTTATTTTCTTTCTTTTCTTTTTCTATTTTTTTTTTCCTTTTGTCTTTTCTTTTCTTTGTTTATTATTTTGTTTTTTTTTTCTTACTGTCTTTCTTTTCCTTTTTTTTTTGTTTTTTCTTTTTTCCTTTTTTTTTGTTTTTTCTTTTTTCCTTTTTCTTTCTTTCTTTCTTTCTTTCTTTCTTTTTTTTTTCCTTTTGTCGAACGAAATTGCTGCCCAATGGCGATTTTTGATCAATTGATTTGAAGAAAAAATAAAAAATATTATGTATTATATTATTATATTGGGCGGTGTTATTGTATTACGTGTAACGTTTAAAAGAACCAAAAAAAAAAAACAAAAGAAGAAGAAGAAGAAGAAAAAGGAAAGAAGAAGAAAAAAAAAAGAGACAAATCCTCTTTCATTTTAAATTCTAAATAAATTCGATGCTTTATCTTGTTTGTTATTTTTTGAAAGGAACTCTTCCTGCAATCAACGTCTAACGTCGTCGTCATAATGTTGTGCCTTTCAAGATTTATAACGAATATTCAATACGTAAAAATAATAATGATAATTATTATAGTTAAACACTCAGAGACTATTAAAAGTTGTTGGTACCGCTGTAAAATGAAAATGAAATAACTATCCTGTTAAAAGGAGAAGCTAATATGCATAAATTAAAAAGAAACAACAACAAAAAAGAAAAAGCAGAAGGGTAAGAAGGAAATAATGATAATTACAGAAAACAAAAAAAAAATACAAAAAAAAAAGAAAAAAATGAAATATATAGAAACAGATATGCATATAGATGTTTCTCGTAAGAATACAACTTAAATGTTGTTCGTAAAGGCCATCGCAAAAATAGGCTTCTAGGCAATGTTCGCAAATAATCGAATTGCAATGCACGGCACAAGTATAAGATCATTGTAACAACGTAGTGTAAATCAGAAGATATGGTGTGTGTGTGTGGGTGTGTGTGGGTGTGTGTATGTATGTATGTATGTATGTATGTATGTATGTATGTATGTATGTATGTATGTATATATATGTATATACATATATATACATATATATACATATGTATATATATGTATGTTTGTGTGTATATATATATATATATATGTATATATATATATGTATATATATATATATGTATATATATATATATATATATATATATATATATATATATATATATATATATATATATATATATATATATATACTAGCCACAAATGTTGTCACCACAAATGTTGAGCGGAACAGAAAGAAAAATTATGTACTATGTATATATACATTTGCCATTTAAATGATATACGTACATATTACATATCGAAGTTGAAATATAACAGAATTATTATTACTGGACATATCTGTAAAGTCAAGTAGCATCACATTTTTAAACGTTAACGATTATCACACCCATATGTTAGTCTTTACTATCATGCCTGTGCATTTTGAGACTATGAAAAAACACATATAATACAAATATAATTTTCTTTCATACTTATACAAATACATATATATATATATATATATATATATATATATATATTTTGTAAGAGGTAATAAGAGGATAAGAAAGAAGAAAAAGAAGAAGAAGAATAAAGAAAGAAGATAGAAAGGAGAAAAACTTTCATAAAGTTTTTCTTCACACGTAATAACACTGTACTGAGACTTTGTAATTAATTAGTTTTTAAATATGCACTCTCTGATGATAAAAAAAAAATCGAACGAAATGACATCTTTATTAACATACTTGAAATATTATATATATATATATATATATATATATATATATATATATATATATATATATATATATATATATATAACGTGTAGTAATATACTCATTTGTATGATATACCGTTTACAGAAGGTTGTTTAATGATTCCCAAAATTATGTAATTGTATACTGTTATTATTAATTTTGAAGAGCATAGTTACGTTGTAAAATGTATAAAAATTTTAAATAGTCCTGTATATGTATACGTGCAAGACACATGCGTATTATTATTACAAAAAAAAAAAAAGAAAAATAAAAAGAAAAAGAAAAAATAAGATGATAACATCGTGCATAAATAAATTGTACGTGGGTATATATGTATAATATTAATTATATATAACGTAATAGGAATATAACATATACAAAAAAAAATATATATATATATACATATATATATATATATATATATATATATATATATATATATATATATTATATAGTTGTGCATTCAATTAGATAATAATTGCGAGGAAAAGGAAAGTAATTCATATAGTGCCATCGTAACTGAATAATTAAGGGAAAATACCGACTTTATGTTTTAAGTAGTAATATCTTAGATGATACATTTGAAGAATATAAAAATTTCTTGCAGGTGTTTTAAGGATAACACACAAAGACTTGGTTTATGTTTGTAATAATAATTATAACGTTTGCCAAGGTTGTTAAAATAAGTAAGAGATGTTTTACGAGAAAGGTCAACTTTATGTGATGCTAAATTTATAAAAAAAAAAAAAGAAAAAAAATGAAAAAAGAATATTTTATTATTCTTTTATGTGCACAGTCAATACCACACAATTTATATATATATATATATATATATATATATATATATATATATATATACATATATATACATACATACATACATACATACATATATACGTATTTGATTTTACCATACGCAAGGAAAAAGTGCATTAGTTAAATATAGGTCTTCGTTTGTACGTATCACTTTGGTGCTCGACATACCCGATTATCGTTATGTATTATTCAAACTGATCCATATGACCATACACTACCGTATATTTGCCTATTATCGGTCAGTATAATAATTACCAGAGTTAGTGATAAATGATGATTATTTGATAACACTTCTATGTTGTACATTACACATACACGTACATAAAGATACATATTACATAAACACGCATATACATACATACATACATACATCCATATATATATATATATATATGTGTGTGTGTGTGTGTGTGTGTATATATATATTCATACAACGTTGCATACACTTAACACACACACACATATACATAACACACATTGTGGTTAATATTACAGTGTATCAGCATAATGATATATAATTATTATGATGTTGCCCATAGAATACATTTTACTTGGTTTTTATATTTTTGCAGTATTTTATTTAAGCATTATTCCATCCAATACAAAACCTAACTAACACGAGCTAACGTTTCTTATTTATCAAAAAGTAAAATAAAATCAAATTCATTTCAAATATATCCCATTAATATATAATTTTTATTATAAATTTTATTTTGCAGATACCTTGTATTAAATTATACTAGGATTGATATTTCTTTTTTTTTTTTTTTTTTTTTTTTTTTTTGACATGATTTATATCATTTATTATTTAATTATTTATTTTTGTTTTTTTCAGCAAAATCTCTTGTTATATCGTTTCAAAAAAGGGGCCAATGCTGAACGTGTTTATGACGAAAAAAGAAAATGATTGAGATTTCGGAATTCTTTCATGCTAAAGAATTCTATTTGTTACAAACAAAAAAGATATATGTCTATATATATATATATATATATATATAGACATATATATATATATATATATAAATGTATATGTCGTGAGATATAATTATAAGAAAAGTAATCACGTTTATCACTTTCCGCAGTGACTGCATTTATAGGGGCACATATTAAAAATACTGACGGGCGTAAAGGGTCATATGAAGAGTGATTATAAAATTAATATCATAATAATTATAATTATATATTATTTACATACAACATCGATCTATATTATGTACAATGACGTGTAACGAATGAAATGAGAGCTAATTTTTATGTTAATTAATGAAACATTTTTAATCATTTCTCCAATGCAACAATATTGACGATGTTAACGAAATGGAAAAAAAGAAAAAAGACAAAAAAAAAAAAGAAAAACAAACAAACAAACAAACAAACGGAACTCATTCATTTTCTTTCTCGTTTCATTAAATCTCAATCAGTTTTTTTTTTCTCTCTTATTCTTTTTTCTTCTTCTCTCTCGATGTTTCTTTTTTTTTTTTTTTTTTTTTCTATAAAGAAACAAAATGAAATAGACAAATTAAAAGAAGAAGAAAAAAAGGAAAAAAAAGAAAAAAAAAGAAAAGAAAAGAAAAGAAAAGAAAATATTCACGAACGAAAATGAATGTTTAGCGAGGATTTATTACAGGATCAAATCGAACGAGAGAGAACTGAAAAATCATTGAAGTATAATTACAAATTTTACGAGAGCCGTTGTATATGTGATAAAGGAACAAGGAACACAATTTTTCTATACACGCATATACAAACGCATATATATATATATATATATATATAATTTTTATAATCGTTCTTTTCTGTTATCGTTCAAATAATTATCATAAATTTTCTTTATATACACGTATACGTAAGTGTGTTTGCGTTAACAAGGTCGCATACAAATATGATCGATGAGATCGTAAAAAAGCG